GTCGATAGTGACCTTCACACCCTTCTTCGCAAGTTGAGTGACGGAGAGGAGATTCACCTTCAACCCCGGGACGTAAAGCACGTTCGTGATGTCCACCGGCCCGCCATCGACGATGAGGCGCGTACTTCCAACTCCGACCACCGGTAGCGACTTATCGTTTCCGAAGACGACGCGCGTTACGTCTCTCGGTGTACCAACGTTGGTGAGGAACGATGCCGAGTGCGTCATCTGTTGTGTTGCGCCGGTGTCGAGGAACCATGCGTCGCTTGGTGTGTTGGTCCCGTCACCGGCCAATAATACGATCGACTCCCTTGAATCATCCGCATCGCCGGATGCCGTGTGCGCGTTGCCCTCGTGGTTCCGCGCCTTCGATGGAGTCCAATCGCTCGGGCGCTTCCGACACTCACGCAAAAAATGTCCCGCCTTGCCACAATAGTGGCACTTGGTCGAGCCATTCGATGTGTTTCCCTTGCCGCGATCGCTTCCACCGGACGACTTCTTCGTCGCACTTTTGCTCCACTCGGACTTCTTTCCGGAACTCCCTCCGGAGAACATGGCGGCACCCTCGCTCTCATTAGCGAATTGTCGGCGACGCGATTCTTCATGGAGAAGCCGACCGGCCACCATTTCCTTCGTCCAAGTGTCTTGCACGCTATCAAGTGTCGTAATCACCGTCGACCACTCTTCTGGAAGGCCGCATAGCAAGGTCAAAATCCAATCCTCCTTCGTGACCGTTCCACCGAGGTCTATGAACGTTTCCCCGAGTTCCTCCACACGAGTCGCATACCCGTGCATCGATTCGCCCGCGCTCATCTTTACCATGTAGAACGCATTCCGGGCTAGGATCTTGCCGTGGAGAGTCTTGTTCACGTGCATCGTCTCGAGCCGTTTCCACGCTTCATGCGCCGACGCTTCGAGCTTGATGCACATGCGCACCGAGCTCACGAGATTGATGCCGATGCGCGAAATCAACGTAGCGAACGACTTTTGGTCCTTCTTCTTCCATGCCGCGATGTCGCTCTCGTTGTCCGAATTTTTCTCCGTTCCATCAAAGAAACCCCAAAGTCCCCACTCCATCATGAGCACTTGGAACTTCAACTTCCACGCGGAGTAGTTTTGTCCCGTGAAAATCGGTACCGCCGACGTGTCGAACATCGTCGCGGTTGCCCAGGGTTCGCCGGAATTTACAACGACACCATCCAAGGAAGTGCGGGAGGCCTCGCTTGACGTCGGCATGCTAGCTTCTTGTTGCGTGCGTAGACTCCTCCGACCAGCTCTGATACCACTGTTGTAGAGGCTTCTCCTCTACTTTGCAAGAACTGGGATTTGTACTAATCAGTAGAGCAGTGTCTAAGCTTTCGAACAGGCCATGGATCACCTTGATCGCCTAAGTATGGACCGAGATATGGCTACTAATGTGAAAGCTATTCTCTATGTTGAAAGATTGGAAACTCTCTGGAATTTGTGTTCGAATGTACTTCATACAAAGTGATTCAAAATGTTCAGTATATTCCATGCAATACAAAGCAAACAAATTTTTATGAACTGCAATGCGTCGAGTCGCACATGTAACCTCGAGTCGCTACACTCTCGAATGTTCGAGTAACATAAGGGGTGAAATTCGGAACTCGAATTTCACCAAATCGAATTCTCCTTCAGTCTCGATTCTTCTTGTGCTGCCATGTGGCACCGAAGTGATGGAGTCTTCCGAAGTCAAACTTCAACCCCACGCAAACCTGCAGCTCACTCGAAGGTGAGCACCAAAAACAACACCGCTTTGTGGTTGGGGGCAAAACCGCCCCACGCAACCTCCAACATGGAATGTACGGCATACATGAAATATGTTTGTTTCATTTAATCAAAATAATGATGGTATAGTACACAGATAGAAATCTAGTGGTTGTTGTCAGAGGTCCACTAGAGATCCCCGATTGATCTTAGGGAAGGGTTACAGGCTCGTTGTCCTGGGGGGTTATGGGCGCACTGACCCGCTACTTAACTTTTTCTCTTTACTCTCGACATGGTATCAGAGCGAAGGTCTCGGGTTCGAATCCCAGTGTGTGCACTTCGGGCATCCCAGTGCGGGGGGGTGTCAAAGGTCCACTGGAGATCCCCGATTGATCCTAGGGAAGGGTTACAGGCTTGTTGTCCTGGGGGGTTATGGGCGCACTGACCCGCTACTTAACAAGCCATTTTATCCCAATGGTCTAGTGGTTGGGATTCTGACAGTTGCTAGTGATCCAACCCGCTATATGATACACCTGCAATCAGCTCTTTACGGGAACTCCTGCACGGACATCACCTGTCTGGCGCGCCCATACGCGGTGTAAGCGCAGTCCACAGCAAGCTCATCGCTCGCCTCGTACCACCGCGGAGTGCCATCCAGGAACCCTTGCCCTTCCGTGCTATTTTGGCATATGAATGTTTTGACAATCTGCCCATCGTCGCCACCTCCCCCTCCTCCCACCACAACGGTTGTCGCTACAGATGTGCGACACTGCAGGTGGGGCCACGACGGAGCGTGAAGAGCAGGGCCGCATACGGGTGCGATGGGGCCTGCAGAGCCCTGACAGAGCCAGTGTGGTCGATAGGGCCAGCATTGCTTGACGAGGCCAACGAGGTCGACGAGGCGAGCAAGGGGCGATGGGGACAGTGGGGTGGCGCTATGAGGGGGGGAATTCGGCTTACCGTAAGCCCCCGGATAGAAGCGCAGGCATCGGATAAGCGCCGGCGCTTATAAAAGGATGAGGGCGCTTATATCCGGTCCTCGATTATAAGCCCACCCCCTAAAAAAAGATGATTTATTATAAGCGCATGTTTTTTCATTTGAAAACCTGACGAAATACAGAAACAAATTTCACATTATGAGGGAAACGAACTACAAACTCGGTGTCCCACACTCTGATATCATCTTTTGCGCGTCTAGTCAGCATGTGCTGTCATTCTGTCAGTTTGAGTTGGCAGGGAATCACTCCCTGCCAAGTTGCGCGAGAATCAGATTCGCGACCCTATATGTTTTCGACTCGATTACAATTGGCAGAACGAGATCTACAGTTTGGTGTAAAACAGATAGAAATTCTTTTTGCCATTTTATAAACGCCGGCGCTTATAAAATTCCTCGATTATAAGCGCACCCCCTAAAAAACAGTGTTTTTTTATACCCCCAGGGGCGCTTCTATCCGGGGGCTTACGGTAGGATTGATATGCTCTAAATACCATGCTAGAAAATTAAGTAGCGAGTTAGTGCACCCGTAACCCCCTACGCTGTGCACCTGTAACCCCCACGCTGTGCACCTGTAACCCCCACGCTGTGCACCTGTAGCCCTTCCAAAGATTAATATGGCATTGCAGTACAGGTCTTCTAACCAGGGCTGACGTTTCATTTTAAGCCTCCCTGATTCCGGGGAAAAATTTTGTTAGAATATATCTGTAACTGCCTGTAGCTGTAGTTAGTGTAGTTATTATAAACTTTGTTTGGTGGTGCACCTTCTTTGTTCCTTTGCTATATGTTCTTGCAAACCTATAGTGAAGCCAATTCATTCTCGTCTCCCCCTCCTTGGCACAAACCACCTCGACTCCCCTTGGCCTAGGCTACTAAGCCTAGGCCCTACTCTTTCTGCTTAACAATTTTCCCCCTCTATTATGGGTGCACATTTTCCATAAAAGCAGTACCCTGATTGCTCAGGGTTGTAAAGTAGTTAACACTGATTGTTCAGGGTCGAGAACTGAACATCAGAGTAGTAACGCGCGCTTTGTTACCGGGGAAATTATCCCCACTCTCCATAAAGTCTGCGCGCTGTGTTACCTGCCGGCTGTACACTCGACTGATTTGTGCAGGGCGGGTGTGATTGACCTATCTGGTGTACGAGTGTAACGTTTCCCTGTCTTATTACCATGCCCAATTGGATCTCTTCAGCTGGCATGCATCAGACACGCTGCGACTGTAGTTAGTCACCCTCAGAGGCGTTCCTTCTGGAGCGAGTGTACCGATCGAACGGGCGAGTCACACCTGTTCGAGTCACAGATTTCCGCTGTCAGAGCCTATTTCGACCAATCCCAGCAAAGTATATCTGACATTGCAGATTCACGCGATCTCGATGGTAGGTGTATCAGAATGAAGTTTCGAAGAAACTTCGTCTCGATAAAGCGGGAAGGGGGGGGGGGGATTACGCACATGTGGGGGGATCACTGTGATCAATCGAAGGCGGGGTCATCGGAAGGAAACTTCCGAGAAACTTTCTCTCGATAAGTCAGGGCCCACACAGTCGATACTCTGTTAAGTCAGGGTCCACTAACATCCTAGTCTGTTACACTGTACTCAAAATCAGGGATAGCTAAACTATTACTCTGATTGGATCAGGGCTGGAAATTCAATAACTCTGAAATTTCAGTCTCCACGAAGTGGAAAGCCTGAAATCACCCTGAAATCAGGGTAATTACCCTGATAAAATCAGCCCTGCTTCTAACACCTCTCCGCACACATACCAAGAGAAATGGTGAAGTGCAAGCTACATGGGCGCAAACTTGTGTGTACATAGGGAGGGATACCCTGTCAGAATCCCCTGTCAGAATCCCCCTTAAAGCGACGGGCAACTTTTGGCAGTGTTGGGTTCAGAAGCTTTTTTTTTTAACCAGGCTTGCCAGCGCGAAAGTGCTGGCTGGCGAAAACCAGGATTTCGTGCGGACACTTTCCATCCGCAGTAACAGTTCGCCAGGGTTCTGGGTTTTGGGTGGCAAATGTGCACCGTCGCTTTAAACAAGCAAGAGAATGCTCACATTAGGAGAGCAAGCCTAGGGTTTTCTTATTCATGATGGCTCATTTATCTTGGCCAGAGACCAATTTGACAGTAAGTTGCATAAATATTAATCAAATGGAATGTTGGTAGTGTACATATGCCTGCTAGCTACAATATAGCGCTACTGTATAGCTTGTGTAGGTTTCCAAACCAAATCCAGCCCACTCAACAATACACCTGCAAAAGCGGACACCGAGTCAGCGCTTACGGGAACTCCTGCACGGGCATCACCTGTCTGGCGCGCCCATACGCGGTATAAGCGCAGTCCACAGCAAGCACATCGCTCGCCTCGTACGACCGCGGCGTGCCATCCAGGAACCCTTGTCCCTCCGCGCCGTCGGCGGAGATCGGACGGTGCAGGCTCGCGATCAGCTTCTGGAAGTCCGCGGCGCGCTGCGCGTGGTCGTCGCGGTACGTCTGCCCGAGCACGCCGTGGATCGCGTCGGTGTGCTCCAGCTCCGCAATCCCCACGTTGATGTGCGCCTCGGCGTCGCTCGGCGTCTGCAGCTTCGGGTGCGCCACGCGCAGGCGGAGGTCGAGCGAAATCAGGCCGTCGATCGTCAGCAGGTAGTAATCCACATCGAACGGCCCCTCCTTCTCCAGCGCGCGGAACTGGATCGTCAGCCCGCCGTCGCTCGTCACGCTGTCGCCCACCTGCATGCGCGGGATCGCCTCGCCGTCAATCTCGATGCTCTTCACGAACCCGTCGCCGCGCTCCTGCTGCTTGCCGCCGCGCGCCGCGATGCGAACATTGTGGTCGACGCCCTTGGCGGTCCACACAATGCCGAGCTCCTTAATCCACGTGTGCACGGCCTTGCCGTCGACCACCAGCGCCGCGTTGTCGGTGCGCTCGTCGTAGTACCCGCGCAGCAGCATGTTCACGTGCAGGTCGCGGTCCGTCAGCAGGCAGAAGGCCTTGTCGGGGCGGCCGTTGAAGTCGAAGTGCGTGCCGTGCGCGCCCACCAGATGCGGGTCGTTGAGAATCTTGGCGCTCGGGTTGCACTCGCCGCCGATGCGCACCTGAAGCGGCACGGGCTTCGTCTCCGTGCTGTACTGCGCGGTCATCTCTCCGCACGTGAAGTCGATCTGATCGTGGATCAGGTAGCACGCGCCCTTGCCCTTCTTCCCGTCGATCGTGATATCGGGAATGTACTGCCAGTACGTGCACGCCGGCGTCGCGGCGCACGTGTTGCAGCACGACGCGGGGTTGGCCTTGAGCAGCGTGAGCGGGTTACCCGGCACGTACAGCTCGTACCCGAGCTTGTTCTTCTGCAGGTACGCCGTCTTCCACTTGGCCGCAATGCCGCCCTTGGAGCAATTCTTGGGCGTGCATGCGCCCGCCAGCTCCTTGTTCAAACCCGGCGGGCATTTCTGCGCGTTCCACCCGGCCTTCTTCACATCAGCCATGAAGAACGTGTCCTGCGCCGTGTCCACGTATGTCACTCCCGCCGCGTTGCCCGACGCCGCCTGCTTCGCGATGGCCGCGGGGATGTCGGTCATGAGCCCGTCGTCCTTCTTGCTGCTCTGGTCGGGCTTCTCGTTCGCCGTCGAGCTTGTGATGGGGCTGCCGGCGCGCGCCGCCACGAGCAGCAGCGCAAGGGAGAGCGCGAAAAACGCAGCTCGAGCCATTCTAACGTGCTGTGAGGTTGAAGCGAGACTAGGGACTAAACTCAACCAGAATGTGAGGAATGGGTGAAGGTGTAATGTAAAAACCAGGAACCGCTCTTCTGTTTCTGAGGTCAGTTGATTGCAAAGAGGGGAGGTTATATGCAGTTGACTTGTTCGTAACCCGCGTCTCCTGTTGTGTCTGGTGTGGCTCTTGCCTTACCATGTCTGGTGGCATTTGTTCGACAGGACAGAGATTCCGAGTCGCAGGGTAATTTGCAGCAAAAGTTACTTGAGATCTTTACACCTGCAGGTTTGCGGAGGCGCAGGGCACTTGGCACGTGGGATGCACACATGTCTGGTAGACCTCTGGTCTTTTCAATTTACATGTTCAACTGCCCCGAAGATGTTTCTACAGAATACATTTCAATTATGTGTAACCTCACCTGCTTAATGCTTCAATATTAACGTCAAAGCTCACATAGTAAGCCTGCCTGATCTGTTCCTCGCGAATCTTTCTCCCATTGCTGTTTGTGCACAGTCCAACCTGATTGCCACACTTGGTGTCCGCTCTAGAAAATGAGCTCGTTGTTTGCATAGATAGTATGGCCATCTTCACATATCACTACATACATTTTATTTGCTAACAACGTAGCAGTACATTTTATAGTCCTGGTTTGCAGCGATGGGCTCTTATCTCAACTCCCGTCTGTGTCACTTGGTGTCTTCCTTTTGACACCTGTCCGAAGGGAATGACTTGTGCTGATCCTGACGTGTCCACGATCAGACATCCCCTGACGTGTTTGGCCTTCCCCTTCCGCTTCCGTCAGCATTTGCGACAATTACCCCACGAAGTGGATGAGCCTCCAAGGCTTTGGGGAGTCGAATTCGGTAACCTGCAAGTCTCGCGAAACTGTATCACCTTCGTGAACCATCCACCTTCAATCACGAACAACGCACCATCTGCTGACAAGAGGGTGACGAAAATATTTACCAAACACGCTGCCCGCGATTCGCATTTCTCGAGGTTGCCATTTTGTTCTAGCATCACAAGTCGCTCCATTGGGAGTTGCGGTTGGGAGTCGGGGTTCTGATTCTGGGCAGTTGCAATGGGGACCAGGGTTCGGATGCGGAAGGAAACGGGATAAATCGAAACATTGACACAACGCAACAGGTCCAAACCAGTCTTCTGTATGCCGAGTATGAGTCTGGATTCAGGAATAGGCTTTACCGAAAACTTTCCCGTTTCATAAAGGTCGTTCCGTAAAACGTATGACGGGCTAACCAGATTCTGCCATCTTGTCCAACTGTTGCATTCCGTTCATGCCATTGGTCTCCCTCCTCCCTGATCAGCTGCTCAATACTTCTCAGCTCTTCCTTCCAGAAGCTCTAATTGCTCTTGCCTTGAGTTTTTTTTACCTAGATTCCTGATCCAATTTCCTCTGGTCACGTGTCTGCTAAACATCACTACGCTTGTGAAATTTATCGCGCAGACATGGCTACTTGCCTTGGATCAGGGCTGAGCACCTCCGTCCAGAGCTGCTCTCTGGCAGCAGAGACGTCAGCCAGCTTGAGGCAATCCGACCTTCTGGGGTGTGCGCTCCGTCAGAAGGATGTGGTCTCCGTCAAGCGGCAAGGTAGGTGATAATCGAGTCGCTGTGGAACATAGAAACTGTAGGTTGTAGAAGCGTGTGATGATCGTAACCCTAGAGGTAACAGCTGATCATTGTAGCAGGGGTGTACGGTTACAGCCATTGCTCCTCATCCGGATAGTCACCATGCCGGATTTGATTCCCTTTGCCTCGTTCTGTGTTTACTGGTTGCCAATCTGCTTTCGATTTTTTTTTTTCTCGCCATTGTAGGCAACGAGATCTTCAGGCGTGTAAATTTATGCTTCGTCTAATCCCCCCTCCCAGCAAGAAGAGCCACCTCCGCCGTTCGCGCTGCAGCGGCCGCAGCGCCGCAGCGGGAAACCGATCCGAAGAAGCGCGTCGTGATCACCGGAATGGGCCTGTGCTCCGTGTTCGGCAACGACGTGAACACCTACTACGACAAACTGCTCTCCGGCGTTAGCGGGGTGGACTATATCGACCGCTTCGACGCCACCAAGTTCCCCACGCAGTTCGCCGCGCAAATCCGGAATTTCAACAACGAGGGCCTGATCGACGGCAAGAACGACCGCCGGCTCGACGACTGCCTGCGGTACGCCATCGTCGGCGGGAAGAAGGCGCTGATCGACGCCGGTCTCGGAGGGGACGACTTGAACAAGGTATGCTGTGCATGCATGGTGGTGATGGTGGATATGGTGTAGACTGAACAGAAAGGGTTGGTACTGTGGGGATGATCGGGCCATGGTACGGTATGGACGACTGCCTGCGTTACGCCATCGTCGGCGGGAAGAAGGCTCTGATCGACGCCGGGCTCGGAGGCGACGATCTCAACAAGGTATGAAAGGCGTGACAAGGATTTACGTGGACGTGGTACAGATAAGCTAAGCCATGAAAGTAGGAATGACGTGGACATGATGCAGATAAGGTAAGTCGTGAGCAATGAATTGCGTGGACGCGGTACGGATAAGATATTCGTGCATGCGCGATGTACTGCAAGGCGATGCTGGTTAAATTGTGAGGCTATGTTCTTACGTGGGCTGGCATCTTCTGTGACGTTTCTTCGTGAGCTGACAATCTGTGAAATATCTCTGAGTGAATCGAGCCCTGAAGAATCTATGATAAAGCAGAGGTAACTTTCATTTGTCAACGTCCCTGGTCACGAACGCGCGGGGGAAGCTCGGTAACATTTTTCGCGCAATTTTCGCCATCCGTCGTCAATTCCGCATGAGCTTGTCATCCGGAGCATGTTCTCTTCGCGGAATCACCTACAGAGGGTGGAGGTGATTGTCAGGTCGGGCACGGGTGGGCTGACCGTGCACTTGACCTGCTTTCGTCGCGACTCGCCACTACCAACTGCCACCCTTGTTTCTATTCCCCGTGCTTCACCCCTATCTATCCCCGGGTTCCCCGTGTCGTCCCTTCCGTTTCTCCCCCTTCGGCAGGTGGACAAGCAGAAAGTGAGGGTTATTATCGGCTCAGGCATGGGCGGGCTGATAATTTATTCGGACGGCGTGAAGGCGCTCTTGGAGAAGGGGCGCAAGCGCATCACGCCCTTCTTCATCCCCTACGCCATCACCAACGCGCTTTTCGCCTTCCCTCTCCGCTCCCTCCCCTCCCGTTCCCGGGCCCCCCGTTTCCCCCGCTTCCCCCGCTTCCCGCCCCCCGCTCCCCGCGATCGTATCCCGCAGGTGGACAAGCAGAAGGTGGGCGTGATCATCGGGTCGGGCATGGGCGGGCTGACGGTGTATTCGGACGGCGTGAAGGCCCTATTGGAGAAGGGGTACAAGCGCATCACGCCTTTCTTCATCCCCTACGCCATCACCAACATGGGCTCCGCGCTGCTCGCCATCGAGCTCGGCCTCATGGGGCCCAACTACTCCATTTCTACCGCCTGCGCCACGGCCAACTACTGCTTCTACGCGGCTGCAAACCACATCCGCAGGTGTGTTTTGTAACTGGTAACCGGTAACCAGGAGTACAGTGCGATTACGCTTATAAATGGTCTCATGAGGCCCAACTACTCCATCTCCACCGCCTGCGCCACGGCTAACTACTGCTTCTACGTGGCTGCAAACCACATCCGCAGGTGTGTTTTGTAACTGGTAATCGGTAACCAGGGGTACAGTGCGGTTACGCTTATACATGTTCTCATGAGGCCCAACTACTCCATCTCCACCGCCTGCGCCACGGCTAACTACTGCTTCTACGCCGCCGCGAATCACATCCGCAGGTGCGTGCAGTGACCAGTAACCGGTGACTAGGGGTACAGAGCGGTTATGCTTATTACTGGTTTCATGGAGCCGAACTACTCCCATCTGCGGATGTGATTTGCAGAAGCATCGAAGCAGCAGTGTCACCGCCAACTACTGCTTCGATGCCTCCGCAAATCACATCCGCAGGTATCTCGATAGCTGGTGTTTGTAGTGGCCAGTGGCCGCTGTATCCCTCACAAGGTTTCAGGGTTTTAGGCATGAACTTCAATCGCCGCGCCTTGATCCCCTCTCCCCCCCCTTCCTCTCCCCTTCCTCTCCGCAGGGGCGAGGCGGACATCATCGTGGCGGGCGGCATGAAGGCGGCCATCAGTCCCATCGGGCTGGGCGGATTGTTGGGCTAGATAACAAATGCCCCTTTCTCTTGCCAACTCTCCCCCTCCCCGCCTTTCTCTTTTCCTCTCCTCAGGGGCGAGGCGGACATTATCGTCGCAGGTGGCACGGAGGCCGCCATCATTCCCATCGGGCTGGGCGGCTTCGTGGCGTGCCGCGCGCTCTCCCAGCGCAACGACTCCCCGCAGACGGCGTCGCGGCCGTGGGACAAGCAGCGCGAGGGCTTCGTCATGGGCGAGGGGTCGGGCGTGCTGGTGGGTGTAATGGGTGTGATGCATGCTAGAGTGGCTTATCGGTAAGCTCTTGGGCTTTCTGGTGGGCTCGTGGGCTCGTGGGCCCTCTCCCAGCACCATGGGACAAGCAGCGCAAGGGCTTCGTCATGGGCGAGGGGTCGGGCGTGCTGGTGGGTGCTGGGGAGGGGGGAGAGTGTGGCGTGATGGTGGGTGGGGCGGGCTGGTGGGTTGTTCGTGGCTGTCTGGTGTGGCTTAAATTCGCTCCCCTTCCCCACGTTTCCTCCAACTCTCCTGCCTCCCGTTCCCCCCAACCACAGCCCTCCTTTCCCCCCGTTTTTTCCACCCCCCCCCCCCCCCCCCCCCCCCGCCCCCCTCTCCCCGCATCTCCGTTTCTCTCGATCTCAACTTTTCCCCCACTCCCCAACCCCCACCCTCTCCCCACGAACTGCGCCCTCCACCCCCGCTTCCCCCCACCTGGTGATGGAGAGTCTGGAGAGCGCGCAGAAGCGTGGGGCGCGCATCTACGCGCAGTTCCTGGGAGGACAGTGACACATATGATAGGACAGTGACACATGTGATAGGACAGTGACACATGTGATAGGACAGTGACACATGTGATAGGACAGTGACACATGTGATAGGACAGTGACACATGTGATAGGACAGTGACACATGTGATAGGACAGTGACACATGTGATAGGACAGTGACACATGTGATAGGACAGTGACACATGTGATAGAACAGTGACACATGTGATAGGACAGTGACACATGTGATAGGACAGTGACAC